AGTTAGATAAATAATTCTGTAATTCTGGGAAGACAAGGAAACCAGAAAGTGAGAGTCAGCAGCTCTACCTCGTGAGCCAGGAAAGACTGTGAGTGTTGCAGTGGAGGACAAGTAGAGAGCCCTACCCTGGGAGAACGCGCGCCGCTGGCAAAGCAGTGAGGGGCCATGTGCAGGCATCGCGTTCAAACTGTGCCCAGAGGGAGCAAGGCACCGTCCGCGGGGCCCGGCGAGTCCCTTCGTTCATCGACTGTGGAGGGCTTGAGTGTGAGCTCCCTTGGAGTTTGCATGGTCGGCTAAGGAGAAACAATAAAGAAATACATAAGATGCTATAAATGGATGCCAGGACGCCAAATAGGACAGAGGAAATGGGTAGAGTGGAGTGGGACGGCTCGAGACGGCTCCTCTGACAGACCCGTGAGCAGAGGCCGCAGTGGGGTTGGCGGTGGGCGATGCCCCGTGTCTGCTGCATTGTCCTCAGGCGGGACACTTGTTATAGAGACAGTTCCTCCTGTGTATTCGTGAACATACGACACACGTGGACAGAGTTGCCGTGTGCACTTTGTCACTCCCTTGCCCGCAAAGGAACGACACTGCTCCCAGCTGATCGGTCTTCAGTAGACTTTTTTTAAACAGGATAGAAAGAGAAACCCTTGAGCAAGGGGAGCTCTGAAAGAAAGGGGAAGCTCCCGTTACTATTTCACAAACAGCTTATACAGTTTATCATTGCAGAAGCATGTAATGCAAGCTTAGTCCATGCTGCAGTCCGTGCGGCGGCGCTCCAATCGGGTGCCTGATCACGCACAGTCCATGCACTCCTTGTCCAACCATAAAGGTGATCACGCGCCTTCATCCAATCAAGCTCCTGGTCACGTAGCAGGCGACTTGGGTGCTAACAACAAACTTCCACCTGGTGTTTTCTCAGCCTTGGTCAGTGGGAAAAGAAGTATGGGAAGCCCCAAGGCCATAGTTGTTTTGACTGTAGCCTGGGGCTATGGAACGGTCCCGATATCGCAGCTCAACAGAAACCATAAACATCCACACAGCAGTAACTATTGCAAACGGTCAGCAAGCTAAGCCTTAGCATGTGGGCCCATGGCCGGCTCATGGGTCCCCACACACTTCTAAAGCATTTTATTATGAAAGCATTCAAACATCTGTCACACACCCACACACACCCTTGCTTCCTATCAGCCCTGCCATTTAGCCGTCGAGTCTCAGCATAGCCTGTCTCACTCTTGTGTCCTGACCCTTTATCCTCTAAGATCTTAAGCTAACCAGTTGTGCTTTTCTCTAACCAGGTGGGTTTTCAGAAACTTTAACATTCAGAAATAGAAAGAAAGTTTGTATTCATTTTATATTGATATAGATTTTTATTTCATTTTATTTTTCATGCATAGTTCTTCAGTCCACTTGGACTTTATTTGGGGTTGTGGTATAAGGCTATAAGGCAAGGGGTTTTGCCCTTGTGCTTTTACTTTTCCACATAGCTGGTTTCTCTAACGTGTGTTGAACAATGCAGCCTGCCTTTAGTTAACCGGCCACTCTTTAAGAATGTTATTGAGTTTTTATATATACCTGGGTGTTTTTTAAGGTGTCTCTTCTCTTCACTTGATTTGGTTGCTGTCTCGCTTTTATAACTTTGCTTTATAACACATCTTAATATGGAGCTGGGTGTCTTGTCCCCAACTTCATTTCTCAGAATTTTCTTAGCTGTACTATGTGCTTATTCTTGCAAATACATATTAAAGTCAACCAGGCTGTAAAATACCTTGCTGCCATTTTAATTACTGGTTCTATTTCCTGCTTTTTGGAAGGCAGTCTTTCCTTATCTAGAAGACAGGATAATAATAGCAGTCTTTTGATCAGTGTTGTGTGGAGTCAGTGATCCACGCACGTGCAGTGTTTAATGTGTGTATCTACTCAGAGCCTGTCCTGATTTTGCAGAAGGCTCTAAGATTTATTTGGGCCCTACCTAATTGCAATTCATTTCTGATGTTTCTCGGATCAAGTTTGAAGCAAGAAAAAAATAACTTTGGGTTATTACCACGTTAAATCAAATGGAGCTCAATCAGCTTCTGCTCATGTTGAAACGATGCAGAAATCAAGTGCATTGGAGGAAGTGACGCGGAACACCCCAGAAGTGGCTCCCTGCCTGTGTTGCAAGGCGTCCTCCACTCCCGTCCCCACGTCTGCAGTGCCTGTTCTGTGTGGCCAGCCGTGGTTGGGTTCAGAAGGATTCTCACACCCACGCACCACCAGAGGCGGGATCTGGTGTGAGATTCACTTAGCTGTGTATTAGGGTTAGGACAGGAAACAGTGCATCAGCGGGTCAGCCTCAAACACGTCTTTCTCAGGGATCATTCTGACTGCCCGGGCTTGGCTTGCCAGCCAACAGAGGGCACAGTCAGCCCTTGGAGAGGAGATGGAGCGGGTGGGTGGCTCCCTCCAGCACGGGGAAGTCACCACAGTAACTGCAGCTTACATGGCTGTCCCTTGCACAGCATCCGAGGCCCCAGAGAGACACCACTGGGTTGAAGAGGGAGCACACGGAAGCTGGGGCTCCCTGAAAGCCCTGGAAAGTGTCCTGGAGGAGAAGCCCCTGTGGGCCTGTTCTCGCTCTCATGCACAGGCAGCGGTCTTCCAGTGGTAGCCGTCACATCCGGGCGCAGCTGCCGTGTCAGGCTTGGCGTTAACCTGGACCGCCTCACAGAAATGTGCCATATAATTAATAAAAAGCGAAATCCAAGGTGGTCTTCACACAGAGGCAAGGTTTAGCCTACCGTGAGCCCTTTCTCCTCACCACCCCATCCCGGGTTTCTGATTCTGTTGTGGTGCCGCACTTTCCCACGGGAATAGTTTCAGAACTGTGAAGAGCGCTGAGGAAGCCCTGTGCCTCCCTGCAGCCCCAGTGACGTCCCCCGGCCTCCTGCAGCCCCAGTGACGTCCCCCGGCCTCCTGGAGCCCCAGTGACGTCCCCCGGCCTCCTGCGGCCCCAGTGACGTCCCCCGGCCTCCTGCGGCCCCAGTGAGGTCCCCCGGCCTCCTGCGGCCCCAGTGAGGTCCCCCGGCCTCCTGCGGCCCCAGTGACGTCCCCCGGCCTCCTGCGGCCCCAGTGACGTCCCCCGGCCTCCTGCGGCCCCAGTGAGGTCCCCCGGCCTCCTGCGGCCCCAGTGAGGTCCCCCGGCCTCCTGCGGCCCCAGTGACGTCCCCCGGCCTCCTGGAGCCCCAGTGACGTCCCCCGGCCTCTGCAGCCCGAGTGAGGTCCCCCAGCCTCTGCAGCCTGAGTGAGGTCCCCCGGCCTCCTGCAGCCCGAGTGAGGTCCCCCGGCCTCCTGCAGCCCCAGTGAGGTCCCCCAGCCTCTGCAGCCTGAGTGAGGTCCCCCAGCCTCCTGGGCGCTTACTGCTTTCATTTCTCATCTACTGGGTTCACGTCCTGCTGGGCCTGGCCATGTATTGCTGCTTAGGAAAGGGAAGGATCTGGGGCTGCCTCAGTGGTTTTCCATGCTCGCCCATCAGCACTGTGTTCAGATTTGGACTCCAGTTCTGCCCGATGTGGTCCCGGCCCCTCAGAGTCTAAGACCTCCGCTCCCCGTCTGCTGCACTTGCCAGCCAGAACTGCACAGCACAGCTGCTGTGTGTGCCCGGGACAGCCTCGCCAGCTTGTGTCTCTCTCTCTCCCTCTCTCTCTCTCTCTCTCTGCCCCCTTCTGGCCGTGGCACCTGTGCGGAGCCGTCCCTGTTCTGCGTGCTCTTCTTCTGGAGGCAGCTCCCTGCCTGCCCCTGGTGCCATGGTGGACATCGTTGTCTTCCCAGGACTGGCTCTTCCTTTGCCCAGCGCCTGCCCTGGAGCAGGCTTTGAGTAGGGTTGCATGGCTCTAAGGTTTATGAAATCACAGATGACGCAGAGTCGGTAGCCTAAGAGGATGACAGCCAAGTGTACACCCCCCTGCCCTGATTCAGCAAAAGTGAGTATCAGCGGCAGTGTGTTCCTCTATATCCTGATCCTTTGCCAAAAGTTGAATAAAGGTGAAGAAAATGGGGACAGCTATAGGTATTTTCTCCTGAGAAACAGTTCCGAGCATCACTCTCACATATGTCTGTGCCTGATCTGGAAAGAGTCGTCTCTGTCATTGCTGGAACCCCTGGCAAGCGGTGAGCCATGGGAGAATGTTAAAGTACCCAGAAGAGAGGATATTGCTTGCTTCTTTGCTCGAGCTACCAGCATTTTCTTTATTGAGCATAAACGACACTGCACACATCGTAGATCGTCAGAGCATCATAATTCCCACTGGAGGTAGATGGTGTTTACAGGTGAGGAAGCTGAGGTTCAAAAAGGTGAATTAACTGCGCGTGGGGCTGGCGTTGTGGTGCAGGGAGTTAAGCTTCTGCCTACGACACCAGCATCAGCTCCCTGCTAATGCACCTGGGAAGGCAGCAGAAAATGGCCCAAGTACTAGGGCTCCTGCCACCCACGTGGGAGACCCAGATAGACTTCCTGGCTCCTGGCTTCTGCTGGCCCAGCCCTGGCTGTTGTGGCTATTTGGGAGGTGAAACAGTGGTTGGAAGATCTGTCTCGGTCTCTCCCTCTCTCCCTCTCCCTCTCTCCCTCCCTCTGTGTGTGTGTTTCTGCCACTCTACCTTTCAAATAAATAAATAAATGCTTTAAAAAATAATAACTGTGCCAAGGTCACACAGCCACTGAGCGGCAGAACCAGCCCTGGACTTGGTACAGGCCTGATGATAATCCCCGTTAGGATTGACTTATACTGAAATGTGATCCAGTATTTTTTTGTTCATACTCATTTGAGTTTCAGATATTTGATTTCATGGCATCTCATTTTAAATATCGGTTTTCAACTTTATTGGGATCCTGTTGGTGCTTTTAAAATATTTTTATCTCTCTGCCACATGTGCTTCCATTTCAGAGTGAGTTTCACCTTCTACTAAAAATACTGTAGCGTCGTCCCCGGGTTGTTTTCACAGCGAGTTTTGTCTGCCCACAGGAGAATATTAAAAAGTGAGCCTCCATATCCCCAAGAAATGAGTGCGTTAGCCAAAGACCTACTTCAGCGCCTTCTGATGAAGGATCCCGAGAAGAGACTGGGCTGCGGCCCGCGGGATGCAGATGAAATCAAGGAGCATCTCTTCTTCCAGGTGCGTCTGTGGGACAGGGTGGCCCCTGCTGTTCGCAGGGTGATGGATCGGCTTTCTCGGGAGGTGAGCGAGTGCCGTCCCTTCCTGGGGACCGGCTCTCCCGTTTCCCCTTGCATTGTGCCTTTTTTGCTTTCCTTTCTTGTCACGACAGGGAGGGACCCTTTATGAAAGACCAGAATTGTACTTGCATAGACTACGTGGAGTGGGGGTGGGGAGGTCCTAATCGCGTTCTGTTTCCTGCGCGCTGGCGGGTTAGTTTCTGAGTAGTGATTTCCATTGGCAGTCTTGGGATTCAGACACGTGGACCAGGGAGGTTTTGTTCTATTCTTGACTTTTCTTGGTTCATGAGCTATTATGGCCACTATGTTTCACCTTTTGTTTTTTAATTTTTATTTCTTTGGGAGATAGAGGGAGAGAAAGAACCAGAAAGAGGTTTTCCATCCAAGGGCTCACTCTCCATATGCCCACAACAGCTGGGCCTGGGCCAGGCCAAAGCCAGGAGCCTGAAACTCAGTCGGGTCCCCGCGTGGGGGCAGAGACCCAAGTACTGGAGCCATCAGCTGTCGCCCGGGGGTGTGCACCAGCAAGAAGCTGGGCCCGGAACCCGTGGCCTGGGTGTCACCATCCCAGGCAGCGTCCCTTCCGCTGCGCCGGACGCCTGCCTGCTTCACTCTTTAGGCGGTGGTTTCGTGTCCTCCTCGCTCAGAGCCTGCGATTCTCGGTGAGGCGTCCGTGCAGGCAGTTACGTGTATGCTCTCGTCCTCGTGCCGACGCTTCCTCATCCTGAAAAGGCTGCGTGAGGCCGTCTACAGGACACCCAGACGTCTGCTCAGTTTAGTGCGCTCAGCTTGCTCCCCCCAAAAACCCTGCTGTTTAGTAACTGTGGGGAAGTGAACGTGGCTGAGTTTGCTGGCCGTTTCCATCCAAGTGGTCAACCTGGGCGCCCTCACACTCCGAGCGAGTAATTCCGTCGTATCAACACGTGCGCCCTCCGTGTGTGAGGTAGAAAGGGACCACTGCACGTTTATTCTGTACTTTATAAAGCAACCTGTCACATTCCTTGCATCAAAACAAATGAAAAGTCTATGCCAAAAAAAAAAAACACCTCTCCTGTCAAATAAGTTTGCATGTTGCTATGTATTGCTTTCTAAATATTTAAAACGTACTGACTAATGTTTAGAATTATCTCTGTATTTCTGTGCTCAAAAAGACCCATTTACTTCTCTCACTTTACCTGTTTTTCAAAATACCACTGCACATCTTGTAGAAGTCCAGTAGCTTAGTGAGAAATGCATTGAGAATAAAACCAACGTCTCAGTGTGCACATTTCATAAATGATAGGACTTGGAAAGATCACTGTTTGAACAAACTGTTTCAAATACCTTGTTTAGAAGTCTGGCTAAAACATTAACAATCAAGTAAAATTCAAGAAAGTATTCAAACAAAAATACCCCCAATTATATTTTCCTAGGAACTTTTGCTCCATTGTTCCTTGTGTTTGTGAATATTATATAGTATGTCATTAGTATTAGAAAATTTTTCCTTTGTGGTAACTCAGAATAGTAATTTGAGATTATCTACTTGTGTTGACTGTTTAAATCACAGGGAGACTTTCGTAAAGAGCAGAGTTTTGCTTGTAACTCTAAATGGAGGCCGGCGCCGTGGCTCACTAGGCTAATCTTCTACCTGCAGCGCTGGCACCCTGGGTTCTAGTCCTGGTTGGGGCGCCGGATTCTGTCCCGGTTGCTCCTCTTCCAGGCCAGCTCTCTGCTGTGGCCCGGGAGTGCAGTGGAGGATGGCCCAGGTGCTCCGGCCCTGCACCCGCAAGGAAGACCAGGAGGAAGCACCTGGCTCCTGGCTTTGGATCGGTGCAGCGCGCCGGCCGTGGCGGCCATTTGGGGGGTGAACCGACGGAAGGAAGACTTTTCTCTCTGTCTCTCTCTCTCACTGTCTAATTCTGCCTGTCAAAAAAAAAAAAATCTAAATGGATTTTTCTCCAAAAGAGGAAAGGAGGTGGAGGGGTCGTAACAGCATTCAGATTTCTGTTTTAAACGTTCGCCTGCCAACGGCGTGTTTCCTTCGATTGCCCCTTCGCCCTAGGAGTTGCTCTTCATGTGTGTGCAGCAGCCAAGCACAGCTCCTCTGCTGCTGACAGACGGGGTGGGGGTGGGGGGCAAGGCGAAGCCCAGGAGACAGTGCCCAGTCCTGGCCCCCCCACGCTGGCCTTCCGCTGACAGCATCGGTTCTTACCCCGGCCTCCTCTTCCTCTGGGTAAAATAATGGCGGTGACCAGAGGCTCTCTGAGACCCAATCCCACGGGAAACTTGGAAGATCTGTAGTTCAATGGTTTCCCATTTCCATTGCCTCCACACGGGAGCGGAATACATTTTATGGTGGTTGATTGAACCAGGCATTGGACGGAGTCACATTTTGCCATCGCTGAAGTCAGCAGGCGTCTTAGTTACTATTCTAGCTGGTAACGCTTTTTCTCTCTTAATGGTACGTGAAATAATGGTTGTGTCACCATCCGTGGTGACATCTGAAATCTGAAGAAATGTCACAGATCTGTAGGACTCAACTCAGTGAGTGTTATCTGAGGTTTTAAGTGACAGCGCATGGGAGTAGAATTGAGTGATGGAAAAACATCAGTTGCTCAGTACAGAGAGGGTTACTTCAAAAATTCATGAAAAGTTTATTTGGGTCCAAAAACATTTTAAAATTCACGATTTTTTATATATAATATGTACTTTCCACGAACATTTTAAAGACCTCCCATAGGTGGAAGAGGGATTGGCTTATCCCGTGGGAGAGAAGAGAGGCAGTGTTCCGAGAGCTGGGTAAGATGAGAGGGAGGAGCCAGCACGTCCGTGGGACCGGCTAGGTGCGGGGCGAGCGGAGCAGCACTGTTGATAGGAAGTAAGAAGATTCCCCTAGCTGGCAGTCATCGGGTCCGCTGCAGTTTCTGGTTTTCTTTTCTTTCTTTCTTTTTTTTTTTTTTTTTTTTTTTTTTTTTCCTTCACACCTTTTTCAGGCCAGCTCAGGATGAGTCCTTTATCTGGCATCTCTAAGGGGAAATGAGCATGTCTTGGCGCCCCCTAGAGGACACTGTGAGACTCTGCGGAGATGGAAAGCGGCTCACCCTCAGGGCTTTGCCTGGGCAGGCGCTGGAATCTGCTCAGAAACGCGGGCTCTTGCTTGGAAAAAGAAATTCTTTCCATCATTGCTCTGAAATATCTGCCCTTCGTTTTAGCCCTGTCTGAATCTGTCTGTCTTCGTTATTCTTAGAAAATCTATTTTGACTTTGTTGATTTCTCTTTGTACCCATTTTCTTTCTCTGCTTCAGAAAATCAACTGGGACGATTTAGCTGCCAAAAAAGTGCCCGCGCCATTCAAGCCGGTGATTCGAGACGAACTGGACGTGAGCAACTTCGCCGAGGAGTTCACAGAAATGGACCCCACCTATTCCCCCGCAGCCCTGCCCCAGAGCTCCGAGAGGCTGTTCCAGGTAGCATCCGCGCAGCCGTGCTAGAGCTGGTGGCTTTGTACCTGAGAGTCTGTGTATGCCCAGGCTCTCCCGTGGGAGTTACAATAGTGTGTTACTTTTGCCTCTTGTCGTATAAAATACCCTTCAGTCCACAGTGTTACCTGATGCTTTATCTTCAGGGAATAATGTTCATTACTTTCCAACTGCTACAGATTTAGAAAGGGCTCTGGATTTGGAAAAGGCTCTGTAGCAGACTGACGGTGAAATGCTGGACGTCCTCAAGCTCTGCTGCTGCTGCTGCTGTGTGTGCTCGCACAGTGGTTAATCTGGCCCCGGACCTGTCTCGTCCGTCCCATGTCACGACCTAGCCGATGGCTGGACACGTAGTAAACGATTTACAGAAGCCTTCGCTGATGAATTAGCAGATTCATCGGCATTGTGTCACTTCATTAGATTTTCTCCCCTCCCAACGGTAATTATTATGAAGAAATAGACTAAACGTCAAATCGTTGCAGAATTCGAGACCCACTTTAATGAAGCTTACATTTTCCCAGCCTGAAACCAGCAGCACTTCAGACTGCTTTGTCGTAGCACCTCAATGACATCTTTTTGAGGAAGTCAGTCGTGTCTGTAAGTGAACTTCTGTCAGCAGCACAGAAGTCAGATTTTGAGGGTAGAGTAGGGAGAAACTCTTGTTCTCCTTTATTACTGAATTGGTTGAATTCTGCCAGAAGATGGCATTATCTCCCTCTGTAAAGCATTTTTCTATTGATCTGAAATAACACCACATTTGGGGCTGCAAATAAGATCAACTCGGATTGCATCTCAGCAGTCTGACCTGCCCCAGGGGGACAGCCTGCCCCAGGGGGACAGCCGCAAGTCTGTGGTCCTCGTCTCCTCTCTCTCAGGGCTATTCTTTCGTGGCTCCTTCTATCCTCTTCAAGCGGAATGCAGCCGTCATCGATCCGCTGCAGTTCCACGTGGGAGTCGAGCGCCCTGGAGCGACCAACGTTGCCCGGAGTGCGATGATGAAGGTACGCAGATGTGGGTGTTAGTGATGTGGTGGTGGACCACATGAGGGTTGAAGTGCCAACAGTGGTTATGGTTAATACTCTCAAGTCCAGTGAATTTGACCAATGAGCAGTTTTTAAAAATGAATAACAGGAAATATTTCCTAGAGAATTATTACCAGTTTGAATGAGCTCCCTTTTATAATAATAATTATGTATTTTAAATAAAAGTGATAGATGAAAATAGAAATGAGCTCAGTAAGAGACAGTTTAGATTTTACATGTATTTCACAAATATTGATGAACGCTAACAATCTTACATTGCTCTACAGCTGTATTTATCCCTTATACGTAGCTAACACTTTCTAAAGTTGAGCGGTATTGGCTTCTTATCAGGACTCTCCATTCTACCAACACTATGACCTAGATCTCAAAGACAAACCACTGGGAGAAGGAAGTTTTTCTATTTGTCGAAAGTGTGTGCACAAAAAAAGTAGCCAAGCATTCGCCGTCAAAATAATCAGCAAGAGGTATGACCGTTCCTAGCAGTCTTTCTTTGTATGTGCATCCTGGCCGGTGAATTCTGTAAAGTAAAAGCTGTCTGTTGAAAAGGAAGTCAGCAGAGGTTAGAAGGCTTTCACCCACAGGTTTAATCACTGTACTTCTGGCTCTGTTAGACAGGTAAATCCTAGCCTGATATGCTTTGAGTTTATATAGAAAACTTTCTTGTGATGGTCATGTAGTTAATGTATTAATTTTGTATTTATTTAGTTAGTGATTTCAGCAGTTACTTCCATCTCTGTTAGCTACATATTTGAAGTGTTTTGTTTGAAGTTATTCAGTAAACTGCTGATTGCTGTGAGAGCCAGCTAGTCTTTTTGGTGACTGACCATTACCTTTGTGATCTTTTTTTTTTTAATATTTATTTATTTATTTGAGAGGCAGAGTTAGAGAGAGAGAGAGAGAGAGGTCTTCCATCTGCTAGTTCACTCCACAAATAGCCACAATGGCTGGAGCTTGGCTGATCCTAAGCCAGGAGCCTCTTCCAGGTCTCCCACGTGGGTGCAGGGGCCCAAGCACTTGAGCCGTTCTCCACTGCTTTCCCAGGCCACAAGCAAAGAGCTGGATTGGAAGAAGAGCAGCCGTGTGGGATGCTGGTGCCACAGGTGGAGGCCCAGCCCACTACACCACAGTGCCGCTCCCACCTTCATGATCTGCATGCTTAATCCCAAATTGCTGGGCAAGCAGGGCGTCCATCTCTTCATATGACTAGTCAGAGATAAATGTTCCAGAAAAATGTATTGCTTTTCCTGGTGGTTGGTTTGATTCATTAAGTATAGAATGTGCATTCTGAATTTGCTGTAAGTAAAAACAAAATCAGGGTTGGAGCAATACCAGCATAGACATTTCAAGAGAGGTGGGCATTTGGCCTAGTGGTTGAGACTCCTGGATCCCACGTCAGAGTACCTGGGATCAGTACCCAACTCCAGCTCCTGACTCCAGTTTCCTGGGAAACAGCATGGATGGCTCAGGTGACTGGGTGCCTGCCACCCACATGGGAGACCCAGAGCCTGCCACCCACGTGGGAGACCCAGATTGAGTTTCCAGTTCCCAGCTTCGTCCCTGGCCATATCCAGCCTCAGTGGCCATTTGGAAAGTGAACTAGCAGATAGGAGCTGTGTGTGTGTGTGTGTGTGTGTCTGTGTGTCCCCCTTCCTCTCCCTCTCTCTCTCTCACATAAGTAGAATTTAAGTATATATATGTACTAGAAGAGACATGTAGACCTTGCTTCATCTTGCAGGATGGAAGCCAATACTCAGAAAGAAATAACAGCTCTGAAACTCTGTGAAGGACACCCCAATATCGTGAAGCTGCATGAAGTGTTTCACGATCAGGTATCCCACCCTGTGCTGCTGCATGTGCCGATTCACATATGAGCTTCTGCTGTTCATCACTTTGGTTGGTGGCTGCAGGATCAGAATCGGGGGTGTGGGACATCACCTGACCACTAAGAAGGCAGAGAAACCACCTGCCACTCACGCTCTTAGCCACCCCCAGGTCAGCTCACGCTCTCACGCCTGCCATCTCGCTCAGGAGGTGGCACGTGGGACCTGGGAGAAGGTCCCAGGCCAGCGCAGTGGCCCTGTCCCCAGCTACAGTGCGCATCACTCGTTAACTTTCCTCTCAGCTCTAGAACAGACCTTAGCGAGGCTTACGCTAGCCCTGCAGGCTGAAGGACAGCCAGCAAGCAGACGGCCCGGGACCCTCCCTTGCTTCCTCGCTCCAGGTGGCAACGCTGCTCACAGCCAGGCCTGGCCGTGCTGCTCCTTCTCCCCACCCCCCACCCCCAAGCCCTGCTGTCCAGAGGCATGCCACTCTGACTGGGGAGGAATGCCGTGGTGTCAGGCTCACGTCTCCTCTCATCCCGTCCCCCGGCGCCTCCCGCGTGTCGGAAGTTGCTCCATTGAAGTGCTCTTTGTCCCAAGACTGGGTGGGATGACACAGTCCTACTGAAGAGCCAAAATCAATCCTGAATGCTCAGTTTTTCCCCAAGAAGAAGCTAAGATCCCAGTGGGTCGTGTGGTTTGTGCAAGGTCACACAGCAAGTCTGTGAAAATCTCGTGGGGAGAGCCTGGTGCCCAGTTCTGGGCTCTTTGTGCTGGTGTAGAGGCCCAGTTCTGTAGCACACTGAAGCCTCCCAGAGAACAAGGGCCCGGGCATCAGCAGCGTCATGCCTACCGCGATCGCTGCCATCTATGACCAGGTACCTTACGCCGCCCGGTGCTGTGCCCGACACTCCCCGTGTGCTTCCTTTCTCAGACCTGACCTCTGGGAGGGGAGACAGCGAAACTCGCAGAAGTAGCAGCCAGGTCTCGCCAGCTGTAAGTGGTCAGGCTGGGATCTGAGCCCGACAGCTTGGAGCTGCTTTTCTCTACTGCCTTAGGGGAGCAAGGAACAGCCGGGTCTTCCTATCAGGTAGTGAGTGCCCAAAAATGGCGTCATTGTCTACCTGCTCTCGGCTTCTCAGAGTCAGAAAAAGAGCGCCTGTGAAGCAGGGGTGCAGGGCACCTGCCCTCCCGCTCGCCTGCCTCCCCCCTCATCCCACGACTCCAGTGGAACAGCTAGTGAGTGCCCTGTCCAGGAGACGTGCGCGTGAGAAGATGGTGGACACTGTCCTGTCAGAGCAGATTTAGAGGAAGCTGGCGTATCAGCCAAGGCACCGATGGGTGACCCTCGACAACCCTCTGTGTGGCTTTGCGGTCGTGCCCGGAGCTACACCCCAAGCCCGACATCTGATTTCTGTCCTTAGGACTCGTGGCACATCTCAGGAATGACGTCCCTCATTTTTTATTTACATTAAGTTGGTTGGGTGCTGTTTTTCTGTCCGAGACTTCCTAGAGTATAAACTGTCCCACGATGTACTTCTGTGTGTACCAGCGTAGATGTGTCGTGATTCTGATACGCAGTTGTTGAAGGACACTTAGGTTATTCCTGTCCACTGTGGGGTGCGACTGAGCATGGATGGCCTCCAGCCTTCAGCTGTGAGACAGCGGTTCTGTGTGCCCTCACCTCTGCCTCACAGAGACAAAGGGGTTCCCAAGGCAGCCGAAACAGAGCGCTGCACACTGAACACAGATTTATTGTCTGAAGTCCAAAGTCAGTCTCCGTGATTTAAAGCCAAGATGCCAGCCAGGCTGGTGCCTCCCGGGGGCTCTAAGGGGCCATTCGTTTGCTCGCCTCTTTCAGTGTCTGGAGGCTGCCCACAGCTCTCGGCCTGTGACCCTTCCCTGCCTCACTGTCATCTCCTGCTTCCATTGTTCATCCCATTCTGCTGACCCCAGCGACATTCAGAATCATCTTCTGTCTCAAGACCTTACTCACGTCTGCAAAGCCAACAGCTGCAGGGGCTGGGCATCTTGGAGGGCCATTGTTCGGCCTCGCACACGTACACTTTCTCCTGGTCACCCCCATTTGACTGATGTGGGTGCTGACGTTCACAAAAGTCCAGCACCGTCCTCAAGACCCTGAGTCACAGAGCTGGCTTCAGATCCAGCTTGGACTCCATGCTGTCTTTAACCCCGCAGGTGCCACCTTCATCTACACTTGTAGCATTCCTTCCATCTTGACTTTGAGGTAGAAACCCGAATTCGTTCTATCTCTAGTGGCCTACGAGCCATTTCTTATTAAAAATGTTGTCCAGCCTTCACAGCTTGTCCAGTATGTTTGCAGTGATATGCTTAATAATGTTTTCTTTATGAAGAAATTTTTCTGAGATTCGCTGACTCAGGAAATACATTTTGTTTGTTGGGTGACATTGGTCTTGCCGCCTGACTCTGAATAGTGATGTGACTTCTTTTTCTAGCCCTTTTGTGTTCCTGTGAGATCTGATAGAAACCCTTTGCTGTGTGATAGCTGCTGTGTTATTTATGGACATGGATGCAAAGCATAGTAAATATATAACTCACAAGGGTTAGTACTCTAATGAAGATAATGCCGTTTGGATCAAAGCAATTACTTAAAAACAGCACTCACGTAGTGGGTTATGGATGTTTGCAATGGTGGTCACAGGAACCCTGAAGCTGAGCTTCTGAACCCTACCAGGAGGTTCAAAGTGGCACCCTCAAACAAGACTTTTTCAAAAAGGTAATTTTGCCGTGAAGCAGGTGTGCCAGGGCTGTGTGGGCAGTCGTCTGTGCTCAGTTATCTTCTCTAGGATTTAAAACTGGCGATTTCACTTTATTGTCAGCACTGGGTCACCATTTAGAAAGCAAGCTGTGTACACTTCGATAGAGAAGCTGAGTGGAATTCACATGAAAGAATCAGTCCAGGAAAGGTTATAAAAAGCTTGAAGTTTTCCATTACCAAAATAGAAATCTAAGAAAGCCGCCTTGTCCTTCAGCTCCTTCCTCCCAAACACAAGGATTGCTGTGGATTATTTTGACAATGGCTTCTCTAAAGTTGCTGGCGATAGGTCATCGGCCACACCGGTTTTCCCTGCTGGCCGGGGTCTGCCCCTCTGCGGTGCGGCTCGCCCTCCCTTCAGTCCCGTCTTTCTCCCCCAGCTTCACACGTTCCTCGTCATGGAGCTGCTGAGCGGGGGAGAGCTGTTTGAGCGCATCAAGAAGAAGCAGCACTTCAGCGAGACCGAGGCCAGCTACATCATGCGGAAGCTGGTGTCCGCCGTCAGCCACATGCACGACGTCGGAGTGGTGCACAGAGACCTAAAGCCCGAGGTAGAACATCGGACAGTGCTCGCTTGTGTGATTCAAGGTGGCGCCGTTGTTCAGCGCCCCCCAAAACGTGTGGGCCCTGGGTGGGGGGGTGCATTGTCAGGGCTGTTCAGTTGATAATTAAAAATACGTTTCTTGGATTTTTTTTTCCTTTTCTATGTCAGTCTAAAATAAATCTTTTTTTTTTTTTTTTGCCAGCTGATCATCTTGAGGTTATATTTGTAAGTGTGACAGCCTTTTATGGAAAAAATACTTTATGCAACTGTTGTGGACTAAAAATAGCAATGGGAATTTTTGTAGCAGAAAATAATATCCCTTCTATATGTGTATCAGCTTAGAGGTTTTTTTATGCTGTATTCTGAAAGTTTATTTCCACATTTGTCATAAAATTGATTAGTTTACATGTAGAGAGGGCTATAATTTTTATAAGCACTTAAAGAGTTCCTTGATTTAATTAGTTATGTCCTCTTTATGCTTTTTAATTCTCATTATTTTGATATTTATAAAACTGTGTAGTGATGTAGAAGCAGCGGCTTTTTAAATGCTTCTTCTTTCAAAAGGTTAATAAAGAAGGTCCTAACTATAGAATGATCCCTTTTTAGCATCAAAAATATGAAAATTCCTCCCTTTTAGAACATCAGTGAAAATTAAAAACCAAAAGCCAGTAATTTATAAAAAGATAACAATGACTCATCCTTGGCCATATGCAAAATTATATATATTTCCTCTCTAAAGCAGAGCTTTGTCTTGACTTATCATCTGATTATAATACATTTTCAGGTGTTTTTAACATATTGATTTGTTTGATGGTCCTCTAAGATATTTCTAGAACAGTTCTCTAAAAGCATTATTTTCCCTTTTACTGAGTATCTTGAATTGTTAGAGGAATGTGTTTTAAAAATGGAACTTGGAGCTCTCAAACACACAGTTGTTCTCGGCATGCCCTGGAGACTGCTCTGGGGCCGACCACCAGTCCCGACGTCTGCAGCCGCGCAGGTCCTGTGTGCAAACCGGCCTTGCATTTGCATAGAACCCCCGCATCCTGCCATGATGCTTTCCGTCAGCTCTAGGTTACTTGTAATACCTAATGCAATGCAAATTCCACGTGTAAGTAGTTGTCACCCTGTATTGTGTAGAGAATAATGGCAAGAAAACGTCTGTACGTGTTCGGCACAGACACATTTTTCGTGATATTTCGAAGCCGCAGTCGGTCGAGCCTGCAGATGCAGAGCCTGCAGGTGGAGGGCTGACTGTGATTGACTGACGTCCTGACAGTGTTTGGACGTCTGCCTGTGCACTCCCAGTCACTGGTCCCCATGTGACTGGCCATTAACCAGCAGTGGGTGGTGGTGTATGAGGTTGCATCCAGGAAGCACCCCCTCTGCTTCCCGCCCCATACTTCTCACTTTCCGCACGCCGCCCACTGCAATGTGGCGCTCCGTGCATCGGAGATTAGCTGCCTATTTTTAAATGTGAAAGCACACCACTGAAATGTTTTCTTGATAGACAAGGAGCACGCATGCATGTTTTAATTGAAAAGATCTGCTCCCTGACTGTATAGAATTCATTTTCACATGTTTTATTCTTTGATAACTGGCCATCTGTCATCTCGTGAGTCCGAAATGAGGCAACTGTCTTTTCTGGCGCAGAGCAGCTTCGCTGTCCCTCCTCCCCAGTGCGGAGACTCTTAGGTAGCTACTCTGGTCTGTTAGAAGGCTCTCTTTCCAAATAGTCCTTTGAAGTGAAGCAGATTTGTCAGATTATCTAATATAATCTGCAGTTAAAGTCCTTAAATCAAACCAGATTATAGAGAGAGGAAAATGCACTGCTGAGCTCACATTTCCACAATAAAATGCTTTTCACTCCGACTTTCCAGTGGCAGAGTATACTATCTCCAAACTAGACGTGTAACCCCTCTCCAGGTAACATTTTACGAGCTGATGATGCGTCTCTTGCTGGTGGTGATGTGCGTGTGCTGCTGCACTGGCAAAATCTCCAGCTCTAGGTGAGCGTCAGATACATTTAGAAGCTGGCTGACGTTCCTGGTAGGCTGCTGTGTGTTTCAGAGCGATCCTGTCCTCTTGAAAGGCGGAGAAAAGTGACAGGTATCATATGAGTTCCAGGCAGAACTGGAGAGGAGCGTGAGAGGGGCTCGAGTGCTTACCCCACCTTCCCTGACACGAGCGCTCACGTCCGGGCAGCGTCGTGACTCTCCACTTCTGCTGTACTGGAGGAACTAGGCAAGTGGGCACTGTCCTCCAACTTCAAATGCTCCGAAAGAGGAGGAATGAGTTACGTCCCCACGTTAAACCTAGTGACCCACCTCACTCGCTCCACTTTCAGAAGTCCGATCACGGGGAGGCCTTTGGCATCAGGGTGGAGATGCTGCCTGGATGCCCGCATCTCACACTGCAGTGCCTGGGTTCAAGTCTCAGCTCCACTTCCAGTCCAGCTTCCTGCCAGTGTGCGCTCTGGGGAGAAGCCGTTGAGGACTCAAGTACATGGGTGCCGCCACCATGTGGGAACCTGGCTGGAGCTGCAGGCTCCTGGCTGTAGCCTGGTTCAGCCCCAGCTATTGTGAACATTTGGGGAGTGAACCAGTGGATGAAAGATCTCTCTTGCTCTCTCTCTTTCTCTCACTCTCTGCCTTTCAAATACATGAAAATAAATTAATTTTTTAAATTTGAAGTTATTATAACAAGAGAACCCAAATCAGGGAAAACTAATTTATTACTGATTTGTATATTTATTGTATACTAATTACTTATTTTTGTTACTTATTTGAAAGACAGAGCAGCAGGACGAAAGATCTTCCCCATGCTGGTTCACTCCGCACATGGCCACAGCAGCCAGTTCTGGGCCAGGATGGAGCAGGAGCCAGGAGCTCCGCCTGGGTCTCTCCCGTGCCCATATAGAATAGCAGCACTGCAAGCCTGGGCTTTAACCCACGCACCACGGTGCTGGCCCTCCGTTACTCTTTTCACTTCACTTTCCTCTCGCTGTTGATTTTCAGCTTTTAAATGGAAGCTTGAAAGGTTTTTCCGTGGGTCAGTGAAGCCTTCTATCATGTCATTCACTTCAGCTAGAATAGTATTAACAAAACAAGTGATGTTTCAGAGCTGGAAATAATCTGATGAATAAAAAGCATGACAGATTTTTCTGGCTGTCTAGAGACAAAATAGTCAAATGCATTTATTGTGGGCACTAGCCTGATGTACTAAGTAAAATGATGATTTGTGGGGCCAGCATTATGGCGTAGAAGGTTAAGCCACCGCCTGTGATGCCAGCATCCCACTTGGGTGCTTGTTCAAGTCCCAGCTGCTCCACTCCTAATCCAGCTCCCCACTAATGGCCTGGGAAGACCCCAGAAGGTGGCCTGAGTGCTTGGGCCCCTGCACCCACATGGGAGACCTGGAAGGGGCTCTGTGCACCTGGCTTTGGCCCAGCCCATCCCCAGCTGTGTGTCCATTTGGAGGGTGAACCAGTGGATAGAAGATCTCTCTGTCTGTCTCTCCTCCTCTCTCTGTAACTCTGCCTTTCAAATAAAAAGAAAACTAATTGAAATTAAAAAAAAAAAGATGATTTGTATATCAGTACAGTTAGCGTTTATTAAGCATGTGACAGATAGAAGAGTAACCCAGGAAACCTCAGTGACCTCAAAGCCTCGGTACATGAATGACTCAGAAGAACAAAGTTTTCTGAATGTTTGAAGAATAACATCTCTGAACACCAAAATCTGGTTAAGTATTAACTGGTTTGGAGAAAATATTTCTGCAATGTAATGGATATTTTCACCCTGTCCTTTTAAATGGTATCTACTAGATATTAGAGAAGAGTTTTACTAGTGAATTTAATTAATTAATTACCCAGAGCCCTGGGCAGAGGTTCCTAGGTTAGGGAGGCACAGGGTCCCTGCCCTTCCTGTCTGAGAGGCGATGAATGTGTCAAGTGAGTAACCCAGAGGGCTCGCCAGCCGGCAGGGGACAGGAAGTCGTGCTCGGAGAAAATGGACAAGTTCTGACTTCGTGTGTGGGACAGTTAGGGTGGGAAAAAGCTCCGACCCCCTCCCCCAAGTGTACCTGATCCCGGTGGGCAGGTGCGCTGGTGGAGCGCATAGGAGACGGGGCAGGGGAGAGCACAAAGGGGCTGATGTGAGAAGAGGCCTGGAGAGCGGGAAAACGTTTCCCATGGGTGCAGAAATCCAAGTAACGCGAGAGGGGTGAAGCAGAGAGCAGCCGCGCAGAGAGGCGCGGGGTCAGGAGAAACTCAGGTGCGTGCCGGTGTCTTGCAGAATCTCTTGTTCACGGACGAAAACGACAACTTGGAAATTAAAGTGATTGACTTCGGGTTCGCCCGGCTGAAGCCGCCTGACAATCAGCCCCTGAAGACCCCGTGCTTCACGCTGCACTACGCCGCCCCCGAGCTCCTGAACCACAACGGCTACGACGAGTCGTGCGACCTGTGGAGCCTGGGCGTCATCCTGGTGAGCCCGCTCCGCCCCTCAACGAGGGCTGTTTCCCTCTCTTAACACTTAGCTCAGTGACCATCCCATGATACCCCATAATGCGCAAGTTTTATGTATCTATCACAAATACAAATGTTTAATCAAACTAAACACCCATATATTAGAGAAAATATAGGAATTTTTATTTTGGTTTCTTGTAATATTTAAGGTAGCTGCATTTTATATGAGAGTTATATGTTTTTTGAAGGAAGTGATAGTATATTTTCTTTTTTTAAAGATTTATTTATTTATTTGAAAGTCAGAGTTACACAGAAAGAGGAGAGGCAGAGAGAGAGAGAGGTCTTCCATCCGCTGGTTCACTCCCCAGATGGCCCCAACGGCTGGAGCTGTGCCAAGCTGAAGCCAGGAGCCAGGAGTTTCTTCCGGGTCTCCCACATGGGTGCAGGGGTCCAAGGATTTGGGCCATCCTCTACTGCTTTCCCAGGCCATAGCAGAGAGCTGGATCAGAAGTGGAGCAGCCGGGACTTGAATTGCGCTCATATGGGATGCCGGCGCTTCAGGCCAGGGGATTAACCCACTGAGCCACAGCACTGGCCACAGTAATAGTATATTTTCAAAAATGTGTATTATATTGGATATAATGTAAAAATAGCCAAGTGATTCAATAGGAAAACATTTTTAAAAACTTGTTCAATGGATTCCAGATGAAAAGTTTAATTAAAGAATATCAATTAGGATAAATTAATAATTTAATAGATATAGTTAGGAATATTTATAGTAATTTCTCGTAATTGTGGTAAGCCTGCTTTTCACAAAATGTCCCCCAAGCTGCCATGACCAGAAACTGAATATTAAACTAGAAAAATCTCAGTGTGTTTTCCTCAAAATAGCTTTGCTTTTTCTGCACAGAATTCATTATGCACACAGGGGAATTTCAGACAACATACGGGAAGGTAGAACAGAGAGAAAATCAGTCATAATCTCCCCACACTAAGGTGGTGGTGCTCACCTCCCTGGGGCCTCTTCTCACCGTCGCTACTTTGTATCTTTCCTACAGGGTTTTCTATGCATGTAGATATTTCTGGATTTTTTTAACAGAGTGGATGATGGTGTTCTACATGTGGTTTGAATTTCCAGAATGTAACCATTTCTTTTTACTAATGAGCGGGTAGCACTTTCCCATGAGCTGCACTGACTGTTTCATATTTGTATTTCTATTTGCCTCACGATCTCCTAGGAGAGATGTGTACTCGGTACCTGGCGTGCCTGCCTAGACTTCCTTCTGGAAGGTTCACCTGTTACGCCACCCCCACTGTGTGCACGGATGCTGGTGCTGTGCTGTTAGCCTCCCCTCTCCCTCCGTCACCACGGTTCTCATGCGTCTCTGTGTGCGTGGCCAGCGTGAGCATCTTTCCTGCGAGGACGTGTTTTTGTATTTTCTCTTTCCTGAATTACTCTGGTGAACCTCACCCATTTCCCTTTGGGGGAGATTTTTCTTACTGAATTTTTTTTTTTTTTTTTGACAGGCAGAGTGGACAGTGAGAGAGAGAGACAGAGAGAAAGGTCTTCCTTTGCCGTTGGTTCACCCTCCAATGGCCGCTGCGGCCGGCACGCTGCGGCCGGCGCACCGCGCTGATCCGATGGCAGGAGCCAGGAGCCAGGTGCTTCTCCTGGTCTCCCATGGGGTGCAGGGCCCAAGCACCTGGGCCATCCTCCACTGCACTCCCTGGCCACAGCAGAGAGCTGGCCTGGAAGAGGGGCAACTGGGACAGAATCCGGCGCCCCGACCGGGACTAGAACCCGGTGTGCCGGCGCCGCTAGGTGGAGGATTAGCCTAGTGAGCCACGGCGCCGGCCGATTTTTCTTACTGAATTTTAAAACTGGTTATTAAGAATTTTAAACGTCAGTGTGCCGTTAATGTTCTTTCTGGCTTATCAGTTATTTCCCAGCTTTGTTCATAGTAACGTGGGATTTTGACTCCGTGTTCAGAGGGGTTTGAAAAGGGAGCTTGAAAACAATTTCTGTGTAGGAAGAAATGTCAGTCTCCTGTGGTCTCTGGCGCTGATGTCAGATGGCCGCTCGACCCCGCCCCCAGTCAAGCCCGTCCCAGGGCTCTCTTAGAGTTCTCACATTTGATTTTCATCCTCCAGTCTGTCCTCCACCTGGGATTTGTGCCGGTGTCAGTCTGTCCCTCCCGGTGGCGGTCACTTGTCCCACAGGACGGTCACTTGTCCTGCAGGACGGTCACTTGTCCCACAGGATGCTCTTCTTTATTTTTAAGCTTCACATGCTTTTCACCTCAGCAATTTTAAGTCATCACTTAGAATTTTCAAACTAAATTTACACACTTAGAAATATGATTATTTTAAATTAAAAAAAAATAATCAACCAACTTCTGAGGTTCCTTTTTTTAAGGGACTTAAATTGGCAGCATTTCTGTGAGAGGCATTGTCCGTACAACACTAGTCCCACCAGCAGAGAGCATTTCGTTGTCAGCTCTGATTTTCCCTTCCACTGTAAGAGGACGCAAATCTAGGCCAGTGGTGAGCGCTCGCTGCGTGAGGCTGCAGAAGGCGGCCCCAGGCACACGGCAGTGTCTAAGAGCCTTGACTCCCTCCACGGAAGCAGCTTTGTGTGGCGGCATGGATAGGGGAGGTACTTCCTTCTTGCTCTGTCACAATTGGAAGGAAAACGTTACAAAAAACAGATTCCACAGGACAGACCACGTGGTTTCAGAAGCAAATGCATTGTAAGAGAAAATGGGGCCCGGAGACTAGAAGGCCCTGAAGAAGCAATATTTGTACCTTACTTGGATCTTTATTCAAGCAGCTCTCACTTTAAGTTCTATTTATTGCATTCAGTTCTAAACCTAGTTCATATAATTATATGCAATGTGTATAATACCTATAGGGAAATAAAAGTACTGATTAGATATGGGCGATACAAACGAATTTCTGCTACTTGCTTTAGGTATGATAATGGCACTGTGATTGCGGTTCCTTAGAGTCCTTGCCTTTAGGTATTTGACAAAGTAGTTACAGATGAAAACCAGCAAGATGCAGACGCATTAACTGTTGAAAAAAAAAAAAAAAAAAAAAGAATGCTTTGCAGACTTTCCATGTGAATGAGTGCCTGTCCCCAGAGCAAGCACAAAAGCTGCATGGAGTCTTCTGATTTGCCTTGGAAATCCATGGCCCTTCCGCACTTTACATCTGATAGATTCAAATGTGGCCATTTTAATATGAAATCAAATTATATTACCCTCATTGAGTAACACAAGTACTCCTTGTTTACAACCCAGAATACTCCATGGATGTACAATTAATTCCTGTCTGAAGATACAAAACTTTAATTAAAATAGAGCTGACACAGTTTACTAACCTGTTTCGGCTGCTATCACAAAATACCACAGACTGGGTGGCTTCAGCAAAAAAAATGTGTCCCCACACAGTTCTGAAGGCTGAGTCGTCTGAGACGGAGATGCCAGCAGGGCTGGCGTCTGCAGAGGGCCCTGCTTTGGGTTACCGATGTGGGTGGCCCCTGCCTGCTGCGTGCTCCCAGAGCCTTCCTTGGGCATGCTCACACACAGCCAGCTCTCTGGTGTCTTTTCTCTTAAGGACACTAATCCTATTGACTTCACTTAACCTTAATTATCTCCATAAAGGCCTTGACTCTAACTATAGTCACATTAGGGGTTGGGGCTTCAACATAGGGAAGAAGGGGGCCATTCAGTCCACAGTCCATGCAGTTAGCACATGTAGGACAGGATGGATAACCTGCTATGAGCAGCATATAATGCCACTGAAAACACACTTTCTTCAAGTGTTTTATTCCAGAGACTTTATTTTTCCACCTTTTCCCAAAAATTTTATTTTGAAAAATTCAAAGCTAGAGAATACAAGAGTGTTCTGTGAGCATCTAACATTTCGCTGTTTTTGCCTTTTCTCTTTAATCCCCTCTTGAATGCATGCCGTCTCACTCCATATGTGTGTGTGGGTGTGGACATACATAATGCATATGTAGACGCACATGTATGTATATATATCATATCGAATGGACATATTTCCGTGTAGATGTCTATCGATACTTTCTGCTACACCATTTGCAATCAATTTGTAGAATAAAATCATTCTTAGCAGAAGCTGAATGCTAAATAGTCAACTCAAATTGTAACACGTTCTCCTCATGTGTAAAGGGGGACTACAGTAATTACAGCAGCAGCGTTGAACCTGGAAGCGTAGCGAGGCATCTCGGCCTAACTATTTACCAGGCCTGGCACGCGCTCCCTGCCTCAAGGATAGAAGTTGGGTGACCTTCTAGGCTCAATACGGCCGGATGTAACTGGTGGTAAATCACGCTGCTGGGGTTGCTGGCGTGCCGTTGACGGTGGCTTTGGCAGTCATTCCGTTTTGTTACTTTTCTCTGTGACAGTATACGATGCTGTCAGGGCAGGTTCCATTCCAGTCCCATGACAGAAGTCTGACGTGTACCAGTGCCGTGGAGATTATGAAGAAAATTAAAAAGGGAGATTTCTCCTTTGAAGGAGAAGCCTGGAAGAACGTATCCCAAGAGGCTAAAGATTTGATCCAAGGTAATCATCTAAAGAAATGTGACGTTTTATTGCTATGTAAAGACTGAGGAGGAATCGCATCCGTTATACCCACGTTTGTCTGTTAATTACTCAGAGAGTCTAGGTGTGTTCTGAATGCTGGCATGGGCTCTCTCCAGCCTCATTTCCTATCAGAACGCTGTCACTCAGTAATCCTGCCCGTCCTGCCAGCTCAAAGACAACTTCCTGGCCTCCTAGTCTTACACAACCAAAACAAACCTTTTTTTTTTTTTAACCATTCTCTCTCTCAAACATGGCCCTCCTCCCATCACCCTTCCTTTGGTGGGAGCTCTGCAAAGAAGCCAGATCCCTGAAAGACACGTGAGCGCCACCCTCTGCCTGCGCCTGGAACAGCAGCCCTCCGAGTCCACCCCTCCTTCCCGTCGTCCACATGCCATTACCTCTGTCCCTGTCGGCGCTGTTCCGCTTCTGCCCTGCAGCCTCCTTCCAACTTGTCTCACTTCCCTGACTTGAGAGTGACCCTTCTGTTAAAAATCCTTTTGAGTGGGGTTGGCATTGTGGCATAATGGGTTAAAACACCGCCTGCAACGCTGGCATCCCATATGAGTCCCTGGCTGCTCCACCTCTGCTCCACCTCCCTGCTATGGCCTGGGAAAGCAGCAGCAGATGGTCCAACTGCTTGGGCCCCTGCACCCACATGGAAGACCCAGAAGAAGCTCCTGGCTCCTGGCTCCTGGCTGTGGCCTGGTCCAGCCCTGGACATTGGGGAATGAATGAGTGGATGGAAAATTGCTCTCTGTGTCTCTCCTCTTTCTCTTTGAGACTCTGCCTTTAAAATTAATAATAATAATAATAATGATGATGATGATGATGAAATCTTCAAAAAGTCCTTCGGATAGTCTGTGAGCTTCAGATCAAACTTCTAAGCATTCAAATTCAAACCTCTGCTTCCTTATCACCCAGCGCTGCCATTGCAGGTACTGGAATCCCTCAGCTGGACCAAGCTTCCAGAGTCCCCCAGACGTTCAGACATGCTCTTCCTAACCCCTGGAGCACGCTCGGGCTCTCTCCAGCTCCCCTCATTTCCCAGATTCAGCCTTTCAGGGCGCCCACACTGCAGGCCACGCCCCTGCCCTGGGCCTGCTCACGCACTGTGCCTGTGTTTCCCCATGGCATCTCCCCCAGTGTGTAAGAGCTCAGCGTTTGTCCCTGTATTTCCTAAGAGCGAGTCTCCACCTTCACACCCTCAGTGCCTTACCACACTCCTTGACAAGAACATGGCCAGGAGACGTCTGGAGCTAGCCGTGTCACCAGAGGGAGTCTTTGTTTCCAGTGGTTATTTTCTCTTGCATGAAAAGCCAGTTCCCATAAGCCTCCCAGGAATAGGCTACCTATCATTAGCGTCCGTGTTCACGCAAGGATTTAAGTGTATACAGAAATACAGTTAGAGGCCGGTGCTGTGCGGCAGCAGGTAAAGCCTCAGCCTACGGTGCCCACATCCCATGTGGGCACCAGTTCAAGTCCTGGCTGCTCCATTTCTGGTCTAGTTCCCTGAATCGTCTGAGAAAGCAGCGGAGGATGGCGCAAGTGCTTGGGCCCCTGCAACCTCGTGGGGGACCCAGAGGAGACTCTGGGCTCCTGACTTCAGCCTGGCACAGCCCCAGCTGATGCCGCTATTAGGGGAACAAGCTGGCCGGTGGAAGATCTCGCCCTTTAGCTCTCATTCTCTCTCTGTAACTCTGCCTTTTAATAAATAAATACTACTTTTAAAAAGTTAGCTCTGTAGGAATTTGAAGACTTATTAAAACCATCATGTCACTGTGAACATAACTGAGATTTATGTCTGAGACTGCTTTTAAATCACAATTATAGTGATAAATCATAAAACTGGAATATCTTATTCCCACAGGACTTCTCACAGTTGATCCAAATAAAAGGCTTAAAATGTCTGGCTTGAGATACAACGAATGGCTTCAAGATGGCAGTCAGCTGTCTTCCAACCCCCTGATGACGCCCGACATCCTGGGGTCTTCCGGAGCTGCCGTGCACACCTGTGTCAAAGCAACCTTCCACGTAAGGCCCGCGCAGGCTCGGCACACGCGGGGCGGCACGCAGAGGAGTGCGAGGTCTTGCTCTGGACCTCAGAGGTGCACTCAGTGACACATCTGAAGTAGTGCGGGTGTCCCCTTAGCTCTCGCCATGCTCCTCTGAATCGCTTCCTGGTATGACCTTTAGGGACATGAAGTGCTCAGGGGTCAATCACAGCTGCCCTACAACCACGCGCTGAAACTGAGAAGAATCCGAGAGCAGACGATCATCTGGTATTTGACCAGTTGACGTTTTCAGTAATGAAAACAACATGCATAATAGAACTAGTTTTCTAGAACCAAATCATTTTTAATGATTATTTAAAAGGTAGAGTTCCAGACAGAAAAGAGAAACAGTGTGGGGGGGGGGGGTCTTCCATCGCTGGTTTACTCCCCAAATGGCTGCGTCCTGTCTGAAGCCCAGAGCTTCCTCTGAGTCTCTCACTTGGGTGCAGGGACGCAGGGATTTGGGCCATTTCCACTTTCCCAGGCACATTAGCAGGGAGCTGGATCCAAAGTGGAGTAGCCGGGACTCAAACCGACACCCACATAGGATGCTGGCACCACAGGCCATGGCTAACCTGCTGCGCCATAGCACTGGCCTCATTTTCTTAAAAAGAAAAAAAACAAGCACAGATTGGAAACTAAGGCTTGTGTGAAAGTCCATTCAGCAACCCTCTAGGGCACAGGCTATCCTAGGGACTGGAAGAAATGAGGAGCTCCTTGGTGGTAAGTGTAGAGTGCAGGTCTGAGAGGCGAGACCACATGGCAAGCTCTGTGCTGTGCACATCCGTGCCAAGCAGATGCGAGCAGATGAAGAGAGTGTAAGGAGGGGATGAGTTAGGGAGAAGTAACATGACCGCTGATAGGATTATCTTAGGGGAGCCAGAGGAATGGCGCAGTTTCTTCACCTGCAGAAATGGATTTGAAAAATGGACAGCAGTGGGCGTTTGGCCAGGGGTCAAGACGCTGTTTAGGACATCCGCTTCCCACGTGAGAGGACTTGGGTTTGACTCCTGGCACCAGCTCCTGACTCCCGCTTCCTGCTGCTGCGGATCCTGGGAGACGACAGTGCCGGCTCACGTAGCTGGCTCCCGGCTCCGCAGCTGTCCCTGGCTTCACGCTTTGCCCCCCAGCTGTCAGGAAGCCCCCCGCTGTCAGGAAGCCTTTGGGAAGCGAACAAGTAGATGGAAGTGCTTGCTCTCCCCCTCCCCCCTCTCAAATAATCTTTTAAACAATTAATAGGCCAGGAGGTGTTGGGTGTGGAGCGAGAATGCGGGGTGATGGATCCTCCGAGGACGAGGCCGTCAGCAGTGACCGCGGCACTGCCCGAGCCTGAGGCTGACACGTGAACACCGGGCTGTGGGCAGGTGGCAGCAGGGACCCCGGATGGGCCTGTGGGCTCTGGGCGGGGCTCTGCGGTCACAGGGTTACAGCCCAGGCTCTGCAGACGCGGCGGGAGGGCTGGTTCTCAGGCCGCTGATGCTACTCGGAAGCTTCCGGAGGGTGGAAGCTTTCTGCTTGAGCTGCAAGACGCCTTAGAGTCCCGACACCCGGGCAGTCCGGCTGGCTGGATTTAAACACATGTTCCCGGACTGCTCCAGGAACTCCTCTGCCCCGCAGGGAGGCTGGGGTGTGCAGGCTGAAACGGCTTAGCTGCCCAAACCCCACGCAGCCTGGACCGCCTTCACAGGGCTCCCTTCTCTCCCCAGGCCTTCAACAAGTACAAGCGAGAGGGCTTCTGCCTGCAGACGGTGGATAAGGCCCCGCTGGCCAAGAGGCGCAAGATGAAGAAGACCAGCACCAGCACCGAGACGCGCAGCAGCTCCAGCGAGAGCTCCCACTCGTCGTCCTCGCACTCGCACGGCAAGACCACGCCCACGGCGGCGCTGCCGCCCAGCCAGCCCGACGGCGGCCCCAGCGACGGCCTCTTCCAGTTCTCCGACTGAGGACCGCGCCCGCCGGGGCCGAGCCCTGTGCTTCTGAACTCCCGGCCCGGGGGTCTCCTGGGATCTGCCTCGCGGGAAGCTTTTCCGGAAAACCTCTGAGGTTATCCTCGTCCCAAAGCACTGGAGCAGGAAGGTTACTGTGAACCGGGCGCCGTGGCGCCTCGTGGCGGCCGAGCATGGCGCCGCCCGAGGGTTTGGAAGGAGCAAGGCGGGTCTGCCGACTGCGCAGGCGCGGCCGCCGCGGGGCCTTGTGGGCGTCACGTGGGGTGCGCGCCCTGGGCGGCGCGGAGGTCCTCGGAGGCGGTTGCGTGAGGAACTGTATGTGTGACTTTTGCCTATTTCTCGAGAGAGAGTTTTAACTTATTTTTATTTTATGGTTATGTATGATGGTAACTTGCTATTATTAATCTGTTTCTTAAAAAGTTTTAAAAAGATTTAAGAATTTAGGTCCCGTGCGCCGTGTCGGGGACCCACGTGAGATGCATGCTAAGCGCCGTCTGTTTTTAATTTTGCACTGTTCTTTCCTGGCGACTGGGTTTAATGGCTGTTGCAAGAAATTAAGGTACATGTCTGTTGTAAGTAATACTGCACTTTATAGAGGAGCGGGAGTAAAGAAAACGGACTGTAAAGTGCCCTGTTGGAAGCGTATGTACTGTGTCTTCGCCATCTCCTGTCATGTTTGCATCTGTCTCCGGTCCCTCTCCGCTTCGTGCAGACCGGGCGTGTGTGTGACGCGCTCTCGCCCTTCGACACCAATGTGAGGAAAACCTAAAGGGAAATTTACTGAACACTGTGCTCATATTCGTACACTGTGTTGTACTACAGTGAGCGCTTTCCTCCTGTAGTCGGATATTATGTACATACTATTTTAGGATCATACCTATGACTTGTTTGGACATTTTGCTGTTAATTTTTAAATCCAGAAAGCATATTTTATAAACTTAAGCAGAGCACTTTTACTGCTCAAGCTCTGAATTCATATAGCCAAGTGCTGTGCGATAGACGTTAGACTGAAGGTTGCTGCATTTAAAACACAGTTCATTCCCTATGCAAAAAAAAACAGTGACAGGATTTGTATGTTGTGTTTCTGTTAAAGCCATCACACGAAATATCAGGACTGAGAAGTGATCTTTGCTGTGTGTTTACAGGAATTGCGTTTAAACATATAATGCCCAATGTGTTCATTTCATAGTTTTTGTCAATGATAACCTCTTGAGCATTAGTTTGGAATTTGGGCATGATATTTATTTATTCCTTTCTTGACGTAATAGCAGCATTAATTTCAATCAGTTAGGAATACTAAAAAGGATTGCACTCTATGTATTAGTGTATTTATTACTAAATCAATGTATATATTAATAGCTCAGGCAAAAAAAGGCAAATATTAAAATATTTTGAAAATAATGTATTATCCTGTTCACATTTTTGTCCACAGTGCTTGTTGGGTGTAACTTTTTTATACTTTTCACTGCCCCAAATGGTTACATAATTCTGATTGAATTAATGAAAGTTTTGTGCTCCTGGCTTTCAGTCATTCCTAGTAATGATGGGAAATTTTGTGTGAATTATTACCAAAACAATGGCTGATTCAGAAAATGTGATGTCATCAGGCACAGATTTGTAACAATCAAGAAAGCATCTATTGATATTTACATTGGCTACATCTAGAAATGTGTAAGTGAGCTCCTCAAGTCTTGCTAGAAAATGCTAGTTGGAAAGTCCAAACCACAGAGACTGTTTTGATAATAGAAGTTGGTCCCTAAAAAAGCAGTATACCCCTGATGGTCAGGGATGAGATCCACTCACTGTGATGGTGGCAACTGATGGGGTTGCTTGTCTTTAATTTCCCTTGGGTCTCCTACTGGGGCACTTGACAGTGAAGCTGTAGGAAGGCAGCAGAGTGGGAGGGGCAGGTGAGGCCACTGGACCGAGGGGCCCGCCTGGGTAATCCAGAAAGCCCCCAGGGAACACTCAGTGCGCCTCGCTTTGTCAGGTGCCCTCGCAGAAAACCAGAAAGACGCCCTCTGCTGTGCGTCGCGGCGGCCAAGTCGTGTGCGGTCTCTAAGACTCACCAAGCTCTTCATTTAGTCACATCAGAAATAAACACTGAAAAATACTGATTATCAAAGTGTCGCATGAAAGGACTCTTTATTGCTATAAGTAGTAAAATGAAGTAGATGTAACGAAAATAAATACAACACTGAATTCTCTTTATGACATTAATTTCAGGGCTTCCTCCCTTCTTGATGAGATTAGATACAGTTTTCATACCAACGTAAATTCTGATTTTGTAATTACTTATGCCTAATACATTGAGAGTCAAGAATAAGAAAATGAAGACAATAGAGGAAACAAATTAAGAAAGACCAGTTTCTTCTAATTAGTAACCCGGATTCTGGCTGAATGAGGTAAATTCACTATTTTGAAATTCAGTAATTTTTCCAAACCTCTATAAAATAAGAAATCACAGAACTACTAGAATAGAAAAAATCAGTCTTCTGAGTTAATTTAAGCATACAGGTCTCTCTTGGAGTCACAGATTTCATTTATCCATCCAAGACTGCTTCTTGTTTTTTGTTTTTGTTTTTGTTTTTGTTTTTACATTGCAGCTGATTTCTTAAGTATGTAAATGGCTGCATTTTAAATATAAGGTAAATTATTTTAAAGAAGCCTACTAGGATAGCATTGGGGACTTTTTTTAAAAAAAGATACAAACCCTACTGTATCTCACTTTATTTTTTTAATAGTATATTCTCAAATACTTTATGGAAGTATTTGTTTTATTATCTAGTTTTTCATCGTGCCCCATTTCAGACACCTGTTTTTGTCATATTTATTAAGGACAGAGTGCTTTGCAATGTTGAAAATTTCTAAATTACTGATTCTACAAGTATGCATGACTTTCAACATTTTTGGCACCAAAATAAACATTTTAATTCCATTTTCCACAAACTGTGAAGTACCCTCATACGTATGCCTTAGAGCACTTGATGTATAACCTTGGGGTTCTCCCAGTGGTCCAGGCTGAGTATCTTTATCCAAAATACTTGGGACCAGAAATGTTCTGGATTTTAGATTTTTTTTCAGAGTTTGGAATATTTGCATATATGTGAGATATTTTGGGAGTGGCACCCAAATCTAAACAGAGAATTCATTTTTGTTTCATATGTATCTTACACACATAGTCTAAAGGTAATTTTATACGGCACTTCCAGTGTGTCTGCATTTTGACTGCAACCCATTACGAGAGGTCAGCTGTGGAATTTTCTAGTTGTGGATCATGTTGATCCTCAAAAAGTTGTGGATTTTGGAACTTCTCAGAGTTTGGATGATCAGATTAAGGATGTTCAGCTAGTAGCACGATTTGAGTGGTAACACTTGCAGTATTTCTTGATATCTAAGTAAGTTAAATCCAGAAATGCCATTTACATGATGTCAAAATAGTTGTCTTTTAAGTAAATTACCATAATGAGGTATCTTAAAATGTCTTTGAACTATCTGACACCCTAACACCCCAGTTTCTGGTCTTCAGTTAGTTGTATCCCCCACGTTAGTGGCCATCAACACTTGATACCTTTGTCTGTCACTGAAATGAATGGGAGAGGCTCTAGTGAAATTTGGAATTCAAATGTAAAATTATTGTAAAACCCAAGAATGAAACAAAAACTTAGATCAACAGAGGAAGTATGTATCAAGTATTTTAAATGGAAACGACTGAAAGATAATTGCAACTCCAGCAATATAAACTTTTATTAGCTGTCTTGTTAGGGAGCGCCACTCCAAATTGTGACGTTCTTCAGAGAGAATATTTTATGTAATTGTGGTTTTTAGGGGAAAAGGATATTTTCAAAGAGGTAACATCTTCTTAACATTTTATAAGTCTCACTCCAGTCTTCAGCTTCAGCACTGCTTACTTTTGGGTTTTCTAAACTATTTCTTCTGTGCTCTTGGCGTTGTGTGCCCAGCGCCCTGATACATCCGGTAAGCAGTCGCTGGCTGTTCCCAAAGCTCTGCCACCCACGGCTGCTGTTTCTTGACTGAACCAAGCAATGCCATTGCTGAAATGTTTTCCTTAGGTGAAAGGAGGAAGAAACTGCCGTGGCTGCCTAATGTCTGTGTCTTAGCGTCTTCCTAGGGGTGAACAACGGGTGCTAGTTGTTGCCAGCTGTGTCCTGTTCCTTATTACTTCTAACCACAGGGCAAAACGCTGATATTTCGTGTTTGGAAAGAGACTTCTATTACAAGACAACAGTCTTGTACTAAATAATAAGGTTACCCATCAGGCTTGATTCTCCTGGTGTGTTTCTGCTGGGATAGACAGAGGGACAGATGGTCGTGCTTTGCTGGTTTCAGTGCTACTTGAGTGACGAAAGCTACTGTGTAATGCCGTGGCTGCTGCTGAGAGCCAGGAAAGTGGGACAGTGTGTTGCACTGTGTTTCCTTTCCATTCGTTTCTGTTGTATAACACTTTTCATTTGTATTGTCTCATAAAATTTGTCCCTTAAACAAAAAGTCCAGTTTCATTTTTGTTCCTTTCATATGTTGAGCAGTTTCTAAATCTCATTTATATTTTGAAGTCCTCCTAACTTAAAAAAAGAACAAAACAGAAATAATAAATGTCATGACTTAAAAAAGGAAATTTAAGTTATATTAGTAGAATGCCGTGGTTTCATTCCCTAGCGGTTTCTACTTAGAGACAGACTGAACAAGTCATTTCTCTTTGCTTTATTTTAAAATCCAGTAAGAGGAAACCGGCCTGCAGTTTTAAAGTGCAGTTCTGTTAGTAACTGTACGAGGCTGGCCCTGTTCAGTGTGCCTCGCTGTGTTGGAAGGGGTCTGTGACAGTTACCACTAAAGACCTGTTGCTGGGGGTGACGTTTGGCCTCGTTGTTAAGACACCCACATCTCTTACCGGAGTTGCCTGTGTTTGAGCCCCGGGTCCAACTGCCAATGCCAGCTTCGTGTTAGCATAGAACCTGGGAGGCAACAGTGATGGCCAAAGCAGTTGGGTTCCTGCCCGGCGACAGGGAAGACATGGATTGGGTTCCTGGCCCAGCTGTGCTGTGGAGAGTGCATCTGGAGAGTGAACCAGCAGTAGATGGGGGCTCTGTCTCTGCTCCTTAACAACAACAATGAGCTACTGCTATGGTGGATCTTCGAGTATGCAGAGTAGGTTTTTCATTTTAGAAAGTTTTTATGTATTTGAGATGCAGAGGGAGACAAAGAGCTCCCGTCTCTGGTTCACTCCCCACATGCCGGTAACAGGACTGGGACTGAAGCTGAAGCCTGGACCTTGGTCCGGGTCTCTGACGTGGGTGGCAGGAGCTCAGGCACTTGTGCCATCACTGCTGGCTCCAAGGTCTTGGTACTGTACCACTATCCCATTGGCTAAAATTACAAATCCCAGTACGAGGAATGACTGAATATACAATAATTCTCATTCTTTGGTGAGTAAGAAAGGAAGCATAGGGTGCTTTATCACATAAAACGTTAATGCTTCAGTACTAACAGTTTGAAAAGAATCCCTAATAACTGATAACTTGGCTGGCATGGGTTGTTGAAACGAAGAGGGAAACACATACACATAGCTAGAGGAATTTCTGGCATTTTACTATGTAGCTGGTAGATATACTTCTGTCTAAATGATAGGCATCCTTAGGTGTGGAATTGAAATCTGGTTGAGAGTAATTTAAGCTGCAACAATCTAAGTAGCTGTTCTTCCACAGCTTTACAGACATAAGAATTTGTCTTCCTGGAAAGCATATGGAAGATGAAAAACGCTATTTGTTTTGTTCTCTGTGGACAGTCGAGTAAAAAGATCATCAAGCTTCAGCTCCAGGGAATGCCGTCCCCGTCCCCTGCGTGTGGGTTTTGTTCCTTGACCACGTCTGCGGAGTCCACACTCCGTGCGTGCCTCTTGCGTGAAGTTTGCTTTGCTGTAGTGGTCCACACACATCCACGTAAACCCACGCTGAGTACTTCTGTGAGTCTCCAGTCTGATGTACATGGATAGACTGTAATTAAAATCAGAGACACAAAGACTTGATTGGGACAGAGAACAGGAACGTGAGATGACTGGGACAGAGAACAGGAACGTGAGATGAGGGGCTGGCATTACGGTGTAGCAAGCTAAGCTGCTGCCTGTGACTCAGCATCCCATATGGGCACTGGTTCATATCCTGGCTGCTCTGCTTCCCACCCAGCTCCCTGCTAATGCACCTGGGAAAGCAGCAGAAGGTGGTCCAGGTGCTTGGTCCTCGGCCACTCACGTGGGAGACATGGAGGAAGCTCCTGGCTCAGCACTGGCCATACAGGCATTTAGGGAATGAAACAGTGGATGGAAGAGCTTTCTCCCTCTGTGTCTCTCCTCCTCTCTCTAACCCTGCCTTTCAAATAGATAAATAAATCTTTAAAAATAAGAAAAACGTGGGATGAAAATCATTTAGGAATAAGGAAATACGGTGCTGTTGTGAGATGAAATGAGTGGCTTTAACTCTAAGATATGAAAATGCGATTCCAGTGGCTATATTTTTTAAAATGTTGTCTACTCTGGGAGTGAGGGAACATGTTGGGGTTTTTTAAATTACTATAAAGAGAATGATTTTGTTGCATTCCATAGGGGCAGTTCCAAGAAGACAACCACAGTTCCCCCACTCCCTTGCTCCCCCCAATCTCCATCCCTCTCTCCATCAGTTTTGCAGACACATAACTTCAATCCATGCTGTATTCACATGCTTAATTTGCTACTGATCCTATATCCAAGCAGTAAAAAGTAAGACTGTGTTCCACAGGAGTAGTAACACGAGCTGAAAATGACAGTTGTATCCCAAAGTGACCATTTCATTCCTGTACATTTTTCTGTATTCCATATTAGTTGCCACTTACCAGAGAAAATATGATATCTGCCTTTTTGAGACTGGCTTATTTCACTAAGTGTAATGGCTTCCAGTTGCATCAATTTTGTTGCAAAACAGAGTATTCATTTTTATGGCTGAGTAGTATTCCGTAGTGTATATATACCACATTTCTTCATCCAGCCATCGGTTGATGGACATCTGAGTTGATTCCATATCTTAGCTGTTGTGAGTTGAGCTGCAGTAAACGTGGGAGTGCAAAATAACTCTTTCACATGCTGACTTAATTCCCTTTGGGAAAGTTCCCAGGAGTAGGATGGCTGTGTCTTACAGTCGATCTGTTTCAGATCTCTGAGGAATCTCCATACAGCCTTGAAGGAACTTGTTTAACGTGTCCACATGGGCTGTCTCAGGAGGTCCTTTTCTCCCAGGAGGCACATGTGGTAACTTTCTCCTCTTTGCTTCCCCAACTCCCCCAACTTTTTCCAGTGTTCCATGCCCTGACCATGGACACTGCATGGCCAGAGATCAGTCCAAATAAAGGACTGAGGCTTCATTAGCTAGTGATCATATTTTTGTAAATTCATTGTAATATGGCATGTCCACCCAGTGCCTGGATCAGGAGGAGGCTGCCGCTCCCTACCCAGACGGAGCCCGAACTCTGACTTCTGTCGTTGGGCTTGTTTCCTGTCAATGGAAGTAGCAGCCTGCAGTATTTTGTATTTGGGTTTATTTCATCAGCATCATATCTGTGAAATTCTTTGTTATTGCGTGTGTTGTCTTAATTGCTCTTTCTCATTGCTCTGTAGCGTTCCATCAGATGGATATATCGCAGTTTATTTATCCTGTTGATGAGCATTGGGGTCATGTATCATTTTGGGTTGCCATGAGCATTCTTGGACATGTCTTTTAATGGACATGAATGCTTGTTTCTCTTGGCTTTAGCCATAGGAGTGAAGCTACTGAGTCATGAGATGAATGTTTATTTAGCTAGAAGATGGTACTGAATAGGTTTCAACATTGGCTGTACAAATTTACACTCTTACCAAGAGTGTCTGTGAGGTCCAGTTGTTTCAAATCATCAACATTTAGTACTACCAGCCTTAGTAGATTTAGCAAGTGTATTTTTCATTGTGGTTGTCAAATCCTGTCAAATCCACTTCAGGGTGGTTTTAGCCATTCTGGCAAGGGTTTATCTGTGGTTTTAGTGGTATTTCCCTGATAAGTAATGATATGTGAAGCACCCTTTATATTTCTGCTAACCATTTGGGTACCCTCATTTATCGTGTGCCTGTTCAAGTCATTTGTTCACATTTATTGGGTTTTCTTACTGATTTTCAAGGGTCCTTTATGATTCATGGGTATGAGGGGTATTTTCCCTGATATATTGTTATAGATACCTTGTTTTTGGTTTTTGCTTTTCCACTTTCCTAAATGGTTTCCTTTGGTGACCAAAAATTGTATCAAGTCTAATAGGCCAATCTTTAACTTAATGGTTTATGGGTTTTATACCCTAACTTGATAAATATCTATCCTGAGATTATATTCTTATTTTCTTTTTATTTATTTATTTATTTATTGTTTATTTAATTAATTTTTTGACAGGCAGAGTTAGTGAAAGAGAGAGACAGAAAAGGCTTCCTTCCGTTGGTTCACTCCCCTGATGGCCACCACGGCCCGCGCGCTGCACCGATCCAAAGCCAGGAGCCAGGTGCCTCCTCCCGGTCTCCCATGTATGTGCAGGACCCAAACACTTGGGCCATCCTCCACTGTACTTCCGGGCCACAGCAGAGAGCTGGACTGGAAGAGGAGCAACCGGGACAGAATCCAGCGCCCCGACCGGGACTAGAACCCGGGGTGCTGGTGCTGCAGGCAGAGGATTAGCCTAGTGAGCCGCGGCGCCAGCCGTTCTTATTTTCTTTTAAAAAGCCTTATTTGTTACTGTTCACTTTAGGCCTGGGATCCACCTACTGAAATCGGTGTCTGGAGTGAAATAGTAGCCAATGTCTATTGACCCAGCAAATACATGGAAAAGCCCAGGGTTTTTACAGTCTTCGTATCTGATAGTGTAAGACATCTCCTTTAGGTTTTCTCCCAAATATTTTTGGTTATTCTTAATACTTTGCACTTCCATGTATGCATTTTAGAGTAAGTTTGTCGGTTTCCTCAGGTTGAATGTTTGGGTTTGATCAGTGTTGAATTAAATATACAGATCGAATTTAAGAGAATATATCGTTGGAATTTTGTGTTTTCTAATCCAAAGACATGGTGTATTCCTATATTTATTTAGGTCTTTGCTTTGTCTTAGCAATATTTTATAAATTTATATGTAGAACTAAGATTTATTTCTAGGATTTTGATGTTTTATTTATTATTTAATTCTTCTCTGGTGTGTAAAAATATAATTGATTTTTGTATGTTGTCCTTACATCTTGTCCTTGCTAAATCCACTTTTTAATTCCAATACTGTATAGATTCTTTAGAATTTCTTCATGTATACAGTCACATACTTTGCAACTAATGATAATTTCATTTCTCTTTCCAAGTTTTATTTTTTATTTTTTTATTTTTTGCCTTATTGAGCTGACCAGGATCTCCTGTAAAATGATTAACAGAAGTAGTGATAAGGGACTTCTTTGACTTGTTCTTGAACTAAAAAAAAAAAAAATCAGTATTTCACCATTCAGTTTGGTATTTGCTGCATATTTTATAGGTATCATTTATCAGATTTTTTCTTTTATTCCTAGTTTTCTGAGAGTTTTTACTAATGTTTTTTCTGCCTCAGTAGAGGTGATCCTTTGGTTTTTTCTCCTTTATTCTATAACAGTGATAAATTATATGTGTTGATTTTCAAAGATTGTGCACTTGGAATTAACCCCACTTGCTCAGATACATCATTCGATTCAACTTGCCAATCTTTTGCCTGAGACTTCTTCATAAGAAGGATAGACCTATAATTTTTTCTTTCCTTATTAACTTTGTCAAGTTTTGGTATCAGCATTATTCTGGTCTCTTAAAACAATTTGGCGGAGTGTTTCCTCTTTTTCCATACTCTGAAAGAGTTTGTAGCTGGTGTTATTTTTTCTTAGGTTTAAAGTACTTCACCATTAAAACCACCTGAATGAGACGTTGTCTTTGTGGGAAAGTTTCTTTAATTGGAGTATCTAGTCCATTTGGTTAGTGTGATTGGTGATTACTGTCTCTCTTTTTTTTTTCCGTTAAGATGTATTTTATTTACTTGAGAGGGTTACAGAGAGAGAGAGAGAGAAGGAGAAATAGAGAGGTCTTCCATCCATTGATTCACTCCCCCAAATGGCTTGCAACAGCTGGGGCTGGGCCAGGCTGAAGCCAGGAGCCAGGAGCCTCTTCCAGGTCTCCCATGTGGGTGCAGGAGCCCAAGTACTTGGCCATTTTCCACTGCCTTCCCAGGGACGTTAGCAGGATGCTGGACTGGAAGTGGACTTGAACCAACACCCATATGGAATGCCAGCACTGCAGGTGGTAGCTCAACCCACTAAGCCATAGCACCAGTCCCGATTACTGGTGTTAAGTCTACCATCTTACAGTTTGTTCACCATTGTCCTGTTTCCTCTTTGCTCCTGTATTTCTCTTTTTCTCTCTTCTTTAGCATAAACCAAGTATTTTTCTATTGTCTGTTTTTCCTCCTGTGTTAGTTTGTTGGAGATTTTTAGAAATTCAGTTAGCAGTTACCTTAAAGATTACAACATGCATCTTACCACAGTCTGCCTTAAATTGGTACATTATTATTTCCCAACCTTGGAAATACTTCACTACAATTTAAATCTGTTTACCTCCTCCTTCCTTTTATGTTATTAGTGTCATATGTTTTTACTTATACATTCTAAATGTACTTATATTTTAACCTTTACAAGACATTAATTTTAATGTTAGTATAGTAGTTCTATAGGTTGAGAATCCTTTATCCAAAATGCCTGAGACCAGAAGGGCTTTGGATCAGAGTTTTTGAATATTTGCATGGACTTTTTCAGTTGAATGTACCTAATGTGAAAAATCTGAAATCCAGAGTTCTCCAGCATTCAAAAGTGTTTGTGCATCGTTGTCAGCTCTCAAAAATTTCAGATTTGGAAGCCTTTCCAATTCAGATATTTTAATTAAGGATGCTCTGTACTGCTACAAGGGTCTGTATTCAGATTTGTTTATCCACATATTTACATTTTCTAGTGTTTTTCATTCCTCCTGTCATTTCTTACTTCCATCTGTTATTGTTTTTCTTCTGCCTGGAGTATTCTCTTTACTGTTTATTTTAGTGCCAACTCTGCTGTCAGTGAATTCTCAGCTTTGTTGTATGAAACCTTCTTTTGCCTTTACTTTTTGCGAACACCTTTATTGAGGTAAAATTCATGCATCATAACATCCACCCACTTGGAGTGTACCAGTCATTTTTGCCTCTATTTCTGACGGGTGTGTTTGCCCGGTGTGAAATTCTGGGGTCATGGTTTGAGGACGTCATCCCATTCCTTGTGCTCTGTGAAGTCTTCCTTGACATGTCTAATGATTCGCTCATCTGTTCTGCTAGGTCTAATGGGTCTTAAATATATTTTCAGTTCCAAAATATGAATCGACTGTCTTTTATCATCTCCAGGTCTCAGTCTTCTCCTCTCTCTTCTTGAGCATATGAATCAGAATAACTTTGCAACTCTTGTCTGAGAAATCCGGAGTCTGCACTGCTGTCACCTGATTGTTTCTCTGGTGCGCGTTTTCTCCTGGTTTTCAGTTGTTTGTTCCTGAGCTTGGCTCAATGCCATACATTGTGTATTAAAGATTGTAGAGGCTGTGGGTGATGTTATCTTCCCCTAAAATGCTTATGTTTTCTTCTGGAAGAGGTAAAGAACAGGTGGTCACTGTAATCCCACTGAAGCTTGATTGTAGGCTTTGTTAGGGCTTGTATATTTCAGTTTTGCTCTTACTCTTAAAACATAGCCTGCTTGGGGTCTCAGCTGGAATCGGGGGTGTTTAGCAAGGCTTCCCCTTGGTGGCCTTGAATCCAGCCTCTGTCTCCTTAGCGTCCAGAGCTGCTGAAACCTCGGCTTAGTTCTGCAGCGTCCCAGCTGCTGCTGTTCTGCTGGGTTTCCTGAGGTCCCCACTGTGCACCTGAGTGGAGTATGGGTCAGCAACACCTCCAGGGTTGAACTGGGAAGTGAGTTGATTGAAGCAGCCTTTTGGGTACAAGTCTCTTGAGGTTTGTTCTTCTCTGGGATTCTGGCACCAGGTCCTGGCTACTTTCACAACCCAAACACCAGCTTCTGTGTCTTCGGCCAAGCAGGCCTTCTGCTTCGGCGAGGCCCTGGGTTGCCTGTGCTCTGACCACACTGCCCTCAGGGGACTCAGAGTGAGGGTGGAGCCTGCTTCAGGGGCTTCCCGTCAGGAACTGTCACTCAAGTCCTAGCTGCTCTGCTTTGCCCGATGTCTAAAAGATGGCATGTGTTTCACTGAGCTTTCATAGGTGTTTTGAACGAAAGGAAGTTTCAATCTGGTTA